AGTAATTCCAAAATAAAAATTACGCCGTAATCTTATATATAAAGTAAAGTTTCCAAAATGATGTAACAAATTTCCTCAAAAACCACTGGACCGATTTTGATTAAATTTTCATAGTTTGCTAAAACGTATATGGAGCGTGTGTACACTACTTTTTGCTCATATAATACCCCATATACGAAGAAATAATAGCAAATAGAACTTCTACATATAAGAAAGAATAACAAAGTGAAAGTCCACATATAAAAAAGACAGCACCATATAGAAATAGAGAGTTGCCAGCTGTTTGAAAAATTTCGATTAGTTGGAGAGATAAAAAAGTTAAGCATAATGTATTACAATCTGGATATCGAATTAATGAGGTTTAAAATGCTTAATTTTTAAAAGTTTTATTTCGATTAAATTGCAGAGATGAATAACATATTACAATATGGACATAAAAAAGACAGGCTTAAGAAAGTTTGAATTCCAATAAATTTTTGAAGAGTGTTGTCATTTGTTTGACTAACTTTATTAACTTGAAAAGATAATAGTTATTAAAAGCGCATTTTCAATACCTATTCCTTGTAGACCTAAAAACTTTATTGTTTTTAAATTCAACAGAATTTTCACTTTCATTTGGTACCCATATTGTTTTTCTACATTTTTTTTTATCAAATAATCATATTTTTAAAATTTCAAAGTCCTTTGAAAACAATCCTGATGTCAGAGTGAAAAACTAAAAGCGCAGTTTTACTATATTTGGCCCATAGTTTCGTGAGTATATCGATTATTTCGTGTGTTCTGAATTTTTTTTATTTTTGTGGCACAGTGTTATTCATAGTGTTGAAACATATTTCATGAATGTAATAAATAAAAATAGTTTAAATCACTTTCTTGTTTAAATACCAAGGGTATCACTGACAATTATGAAGAACCCTGAATGACGGCAATCTTCAAAGCTTTACAAATTTGTTTATGTGATTTTTGGTATGAACGATAAAAAATTAGCCGGCATACATATTTTACAATTTTTAGTTGAAATTTTATACTGAAAGGTTTAAGAAAGCTTTATATCAAAAGTGTGATACTAAATGCCTTTCATCATAAATGGCGCCAATTTTCTGGGTTATCAAGCCTCTAGCAGTACAAGATTAATTGTGGTCTTTCACGAAGTTCTTTAAATAAATCTTCAACTAAATACTAAAGAATATTTACGAATATCACGTTTTATTCTACGCTTAAATTTAGTTTCTTAATTTTAGTAAGTATTTATTTACTGCATTCACCTGGATTTCGGGGGCTACTACTAGTTTTAATAAATTGTAAGTTTAATTTCTTATAAAACTGACCTTAAAAATTTGCATCTTAAGCTTATATCGAAAATTTGTTTTAGAGAATCTATGTGAAATAATTGAAGAAACGATTAACCGACTGGCTGAGTAACCGATACGTCTGCTTTTTAAATAATTTTTGTAAAACAAATCGGCAATTACATATCGTTCCCCGCATGCCAGAAACATGATTGAATGAATTTTGGGAAATCAAGTTTGAGTTTTTTACGAGACTTCACTCTGCATTCATGTAATTGACATTGTGAAATACATATATGTATATATATATATGCTTTCCATTTACGCATGGTATTCTGGCTTTTGGTGTAAAATAGAACATTCAAAGGTTAATCAAGTCAACCCGATAACTCAATATTGGTAAATTTGCGCATCCATGTATCGGGCATAAGGGTGACGATATGTATTTACTTCACATTTATTAATTTTTTATACGCATGTCCTACATATCTTCGCAGTAAGAAAATAGTAGGCGTATTTCAAGACCTGAGTGGAAGATCGACCTACCTTGGTAGCCAGTTCGGAAACGCCCTATATCAGAGAACTTTTCAAGAACGCCCTACTTCAGAATTGGATTGAAGAACATCCTATCCCAGAATTTGGTTTAAGAAGGCCCTATTTCTGAATTCGGTACAAAAACGCCCTATCTCAAATGAAAATGTGCTGAGAACCGAATTCTGGGGTAGGGCGTTCTTGAAATTTTTTTTTTTACAAAATGGAGCTTTTTTGAACTGGCTGCCAAGATAGGTCGATCTTCCACTCATGTGTCGACTTCCTGTTAATATTCCTCTATTTGCATGAAAACAAGTCAAAAAATGTAAGTTTAGTACTCCACTCTACTTACTAAACTAAATTTATATTTGGCTATTATTTAGTTAAGATTGAAGAAATATTATTTTTGAGGATTTTTTTATATGTCAGTCCCTCCCTAAATTCGATCCTGGTGGCGCCCATGAGAACATTAGAGGAAATCTCTGACCTTGATTTAAAATTTCTGTTTCAAAGCTACATAAGCTACACTACTGTAGAAAAATATTATTCCATGTTTGCTTGCAATCGCCAGTTTAGCTGAGATAACGCTGAAATTACCTACTTTATAATTTTTTTGTTCGATCGAAATTAATGTTATTGTGCTGTTTTAGACTTGCAAGNGAGGAAATCTCTGACCTTGATTTAAAATTTCTGTTTCAAAGCTACATAAGCTACACTACTGTAGAAAAATATTATTCCATGTTTGCTTGCAATCGCCAGTTTAGCTGAGATAACGCTGAAATTACCTACTTTATAATTTTTTTGTTCGATCGAAATTAATGTTATTGTGCTGTTTTAGACTTGCAAGTGTTCACAAAAATTGTTACCTACGCTTTGCTCTCTTTTTTAAAATTTTGCGTATCGGACAAATAAATATCCCTGTGGTAACACTCGCTTAGTTCGCTATTTAAATGTGGCAATCACCCGGTTAGCCGCACATAAACAAATGTAAATCAAGTCAAAATAAAAAACGTGCTGATGACGTCACACCCAGTGGCGTCTTTCAGCCGCTATATGCTCCCACAACTGAAATTTAGCTCCCAACTCACACGCATATTTGCCTGGCGTTCGAACGTTTGCTTCCTCTCTCTTTCTCTCAGTCTCTGTGCTCCAAAGAGCTGATGGAGACTGTCGACTAGTATGGCTTTCTATTATTCTTTTTTAAGTAAACAAGAGCTTGCGAGTTTGTTATAAACTGTTTACATACTTTTTCAGACAGCAGTCTGTCGAACGCGACGACCAGTGGGAGCCAGAATTGACGGAAAAGCATGGGTGCCAGTTGGTCCACAATTTCGCTGTGCAAAATACTTATTTGTGATTCATAAGAAAATATACGATATATAAGCTGAATAGGATTTACGTAGATAACAACGTGTTTTAGTAGGTACTAAGAACTAGTGCTTTCATTTGAAGTGAAACATATGTACTTATATATGTATATATGTATATAGGAGCTACAATAGTATATGCAAATAAGTAAATGCAGATATTTTTAGCACTGTGTTGCGTTAGTTGGTTACGTCTGTCATATAAGTACTATGTACACATATTAGTTGAAAGTGATTTGTTCTGCAATTTGCTGAAAGCAGAAAAGAAATATATAGTGATCAATTAAAAACAACACANCTACAATAGTATATGCAAATAAGTAAATGCAGATATTTTTAGCACTGTGTTGCGTTAGTTGGTTACGTCTGTCATATAAGTACTATNGAGGAAATCTCTGACCTTGATTTAAAATTTCTGTTTCAAAGCTACATAAGCTACACTACTGTAGAAAAATATTATTCCATGTTTGCTTGCAATCGCCGGTTTAGCTGAGATAACGCTGAAATTACCTACTTTATAATTTTCTTGTTCGATCGAAATTAATGTTATTGTGCTGTTTTAGACTTGCAAGTGTTCACAAAAATTGTTACCTACGCTTTGCTCTCTTTTTTAAAATTTTGCGTATCGGACAAATAAATATCCCTGTGGTAACACTCGCTTAGTTCGCTATTTAAATGTGGCAATCACCCGGTTAGCCGCACATAAACAAATGTAAATCAAGTCCAAATAAAAAACGTGCTGATGACGTCACACCCAGTGGCGTCTTTCAGCCGCTATATGCTCCCACAACTGAAATTTAGCTCCCAACTCACACGCATATTTGTCTGGCGTTCGAACGTTTGCTTCCTCTCTCTTTCTCTCAGTCTCTGTGCTCCAAAGAGCTGATGGAGACTGTCGACTAGTATGGCTTTCTATTATTCTTTTTTAAGTAAACAAGAGCTTGCGAGTTTGTTATAAACTGTTTACATACTTTTTCAGACAGCAGTCTGTCGAACGCGACGACCAGTGGGAGCCAGAATTGACGGAAAAGCATGGGTGCCAGTTGGTCCACAATTTCACTGTGAAATATACATATTTGTGATTCATAAGAAAATATACGATATATATGCTGAATAGGATTTACGTAGATAACAACGTGTTTTAGTAGGTACTGAGAACTAGTGCTTTCATTTGAAGTGAAACATATGTACTTATACATATATGTATATATATAGTATCTACAATAGTATATGCAAATAAGTAAATGCAGATATTTTTAGCACTGTGTTGCGTTAGTTGGTTACGTCTGTCATATAAGTACTATGTACACATATTAGTTGAAAGTGATTTGTTCTGCAATTTGTTGAAAGCAGTAAAGAAATATATAGTGATCAATTAAAAACAACATATCCACACGTAATAAAATCATTAATAAATCGAGCGAAAATGCCCTCTTCGTGTGTATTTGAATTTGATCGACCACAGCCGGTTTACTACAGCGGCGAGACTATCAATGGGCGAATACAGCTGCATACGACCAGCGAGAAAACCGTTAGAGGTAAGAGAATTTTTTAAATGAAGAATTAAAACGACTTTTTAGGCGAGTTACTATGTTCCAGTTTTTAATTTCCATAAAAAAAATTTAAACAAAATCACGAATAGTCAAAACTCAATCTTACTTTTGCTGATGTCTGCTTGTTCAATTTTTGTTTAATATTCCCTGTATACCAATGCTTTATCAAACAAATAATTTTATTCATCCCCATACAATGAACTGCAATTAAACAAANGTGTTGCGTTAGTTGGTTACGTCTGTCATATAAGTACTATGTACACATATTAGTTGAAAGTGATTTGTTCTGCAATTTGTTGAAAGCAGTAAAGAAATATATAGTGATCAATTAAAAACAACATATCCACACGTAATAAAATCATTAATAAATCGAGCGAAAATGCCCTCTTCGTGTGTATTTGAATTTGATCGACCACAGCCGGTTTACTACAGCGGCGAGACTATCAATGGGCGAATACAGCTGCATACGACCAGCGAGAAAACCGTTAGAGGTAAGAGAATTTTTTAAATGAAGAATTAAAACGACTTTTTAGGCGAGTTACTATGTTCCAGTTTTTAATTTCCATAAAAAAAATTTAAACAAAATCACGAATAGTCAAAACTCAATCTTACTTTTGCTGATGTCTGCTTGTTCAATTTTTGTTTAATATTCCCTGTATACCAATGCTTTATCAAACAAATAATTTTATTCATCCCCACACAATGAACTGCAATTAAACAAACTCAAATCGAAAAAAAATTGCAAACCGGCAGAATTTACTTGTGTATGCACGCGAGTGTGCATCTATACTCGTGTATAAACACATATGCACATAACCATGTGCCTAACTGGAAATTTGTTACCATTGCGGAACTGAATGTTCAGAGAATTTTTGCTAAATATCCTCTGAAATTGGAAATAAATATAAGTATGCATTTACTAAATTTTAATTCTTACTAGGAGTGCCACAATAAAATTCCATAACTCGTCAAATTTCGATAACATTCGATACCGTGCGTTTCGAAGACTTGATGAGTTTCGGTAGCTCAGATATTTACATATCTCAATATTAATCGATATATCTATAGCTCGATAAACTCTGGATAACTCTACAAATTTTGATAACCTTAATAGCTCAATGAATTTCGATATCTATCGACAAAATTTGATAACTCGTTACACTGTGTTAACTTGATAGAATTCGATAAACCAATTAGGAGTGAAAACTTTACATACCTATAAACCCTATAAATTTCGATAACTCGATATACTGTGATAATTCTAAAAACTTCGATGCGATAAACCAGCAAATTTCGGGTAATCAATAACTATTGGTAACTTAGTAAGTTCAAAGAAGTTAATATATTACAAATAATGAAACCAATAAAAATCGATAACTTGATAAATTCCATTAACTTGAAAAATTCCGATAATCTAATAAATTTGGTTATCTAACTCGATAACTGTCGGCAAATTTGGACAATCAAGACTCTGTTTCTATAAATTTCGACAACTCAAAAAATAATGATCACTTTGAATGATTCGATACATTTCGATAACTCAGCAAACATAGATAGCTCGATAAATTTCGAAAACTATAAACTTAGATGCTTCTATAAATTTCGATAACTATAACCTTCGATGATTCGATAAATTTCGATAACTCGATAACTGAAATTTTTGTGGCTGGATTTGTTCGATTCCTATAAAAAGATTTCAAAAAATTTCCTTAATTCTTATTTATTTCTCATTGCTGTAATTTTCGTCTTTATCTTCAATTTCTCAATTACTTCTTCATCATCACATTTATCTTTATAACAAAGTTCAATTTCAAATATGAAGTAAAGCAAAATGCGAAAACAACTCAAATTGAATAGGTTACAACAACAACGGCAAGTTTTTGTATTATCACTGCTTTTAGAAAATTTAAGCTAAGTGATAACCTATGACTCAGTGAACCAAAAAGCTTGAGAGAGCCGAAAAAAGCAGTAATGGCGACTTTCGGTTAAAAGTACATCCTATGCCTGTATTAAACACAAACCTAATGGTTTACCTTAAAGTGACTAGATTTTCCCTTTGTTTAAGAAAAGCTATTCCAGAAACTAATTGCCTAAAAAATCTCTGAGCTCTAAAGAGTTTTCCGATTTCACATTGAATGAAAGTTGAAGGCAGATAACGAAAGCAAAATATTCCCTACTGGGTGCGCGAAGACATGCATTTAATTCTGTTTGTTTGATTGTTTGCATATATTTGAATCGGTTATTTTTTATAATTCGCTGGAATGCTGTTTTTGCAGTTCAGTCGGAACACTTACTCCAGACAATATACAGCTATACATACATACATACATATATGAAAGTATTAAACGTTTTAACTAATTAATAACAATTTAAATCCCTCTTTTGGTTTCTTATAATAATTTTTATTGTAGCTTATATGAAGGATTGTATCAGAAACATGAGAAACGCCAAAGAACAAGGCTACCAGCAGAATGTTGTAAAAGTAATGAAGTTCTCAAAGCTTCTAAGATTCACTTCGCAGTTCAGCTCATTCCGTCATGCTGTTCATTAAGCTTGGCCGAAATACGAGTGGGAAAGTAATCCTATGAGTATCACTCGTGCTTAAAAAGTAGTCGGTTATTTTCATCTTGCCTCACTGCCTATCGGCATTTGTAAAAAATTTTGTGGTGTAAAAAACCTCAAACGCAAAGTTCAAAGCTATCCAATAATATTCTAATATATTTTGATGTTACTGCCGAATATCTATGCGTTGCTTTCATGAAAGACCGTGAAATATATGCCAAATAACTATGCTGTTTGAGAGTAGATAAATTTAGGATCATTGGCGAGGGTCTGTTAGCTTTTGTGGAAAAAATTTGTAAATTAATTGTGTGTCTCGTATTCGGCTGCCATAAATATGATAATATAGCCCATATTGGCATTACAAAGGCACGTTTGAATTAATAAATAAATAGCATTAATAAAAACAAAAAATTAATCAACTCTTAGGTTTTGCGTACGATGCTTTACTTCAAAGTAAAATTAATGATTCATCAGTCTTGAACAAAGTTTTCCTTCTAAATAATTACTAAAAAGTACTGACTGTGAATAGGGCAAATTATCAGTAGTATCTTTATCGATTAGTAAATGTAAAATTCTACATATAACTATGTAAATGGTTTTATTGTATGCACGTATGTACATATACTTTGAACTTAATCCTACAAGACAGCTGAGTATCATATGAGTGCTCATATTATCATTATCATTAATTACAAAAGTGCTTATCAAAGTAATCGTTTTTGTTCAGACCAAGGGAAAAAATTTTGTACTTTCCCCTCAATGTTGTCATCAGAAAGTGTGCTCAATAAGTACTAATACTAGTCACTAGTCACTGTACTAATAAGTAGTCAAACTACTCATTTATGCCATACTATAAAGCAAAAGTGTTAATGCCTTATAGGGAGCTTTAGTACACGCATAATTAAAAATATAGATCATGTATACTTAAATACATACATATGAGCATTTCGTCATTAGACACGAATAGTGTTTTGACGGCGAAAAAATACGCATAAAAAAAAATTGCGAAAATAGAGGCCAAATCATTTTTTTATAATCTCCTTGGCTACTTTAAGAGACAAGCATTAAATCCGCACTATATATATAAATTTCAGTTACAGAATAAAAGCAACAAAGAAAAACGATCTCAAATATATTTTTTTCAACACTTTTCGTGGATTTCGACTTAACACCAATTCCTAACCGTGTGTTTGAACCAACTTTAAATCGAAGGTCATTGCATATATTTTTTTTGCTAATTTGTGTTATTTTTGTGATAAATAATGTGTATAAATTTTATAGCCCATAACTTGTCGAGCCGTTTTTGAAAAAAACTAATTTTAAATAAAAATTATTTGTTTTCTTTTAAAATTTTCACTTACACTCATATTGGAATAATGTGAAGGAAACAAAACTAGGCTGCAACATTCGAAATTTATTTAATTTTTTATGTAATAAGCATGTATGTAGTACATTAAAAAAAAAAATAATTACAAGTGTTGCAGCCTAAAAATTGTTTCCTTCACACTATAATTTTGAAAAAGTATATAAATTGAAAAAGCCCCTATGTAATGCTTAAATCAGTTGTCCCATATGAGTGAATGAAAATTTTAAAATATTACTAATAATTTATATTTATAAAATTTTCTCAGGTTATTTATAATAAAAATAACGCAGATATTTGAAAACACCGTATTTATGGTCCAGTATGATACATATTTGGAATGTATATGATTTGCATGAAGAGGAATAACTACACAAAAGAACTACACGATAGGTGGCGCAGAAGTCGAGATATTTGAAAAATCCGTATATATGGTCTGATTTGTTTCATATTTATAATATACATATGTATGTTACTTAAATGCAAATAAATGCCTCCACAAAAGATTTAGCCATTAGATGGGACGGGGTCTACTTTCTTTTTTACTTACCACTAATAAAGGATAAAAAAAAATAAAATTATTTCAAATTACTTGTTTTCAATTTTTTTAGTTCACTTCTATTTGCGATGTGATCACTTCGAAAGCTTTGGCTCGGAAGTAATGCTCTACTATACAACACATTTTAGTGCCAATATATCTGCGTCCTTACAGTTAACAAGCACTCTCATATCTTGTTTCGTTCAGTTTGTACAGACCTTTAAAGCAGGCTCTCATGGCGTTGCCATATGGTGATTTTAATCAAAGACTATGTTTTTGTTAGCTATGCTTAGTTAGCTGATGTTTTTAATTTTCTACCACCTCTAGCATAATCTTCTGTCTAACATATTGCTGAATAATTAAATCCTTTAATCTTGATTTTTTTCAAAATCAGGTCAAAATACCTGCTGTAGTAGGAGTATTAGGTTTAAATATCCTATGAAAAAAAGTAAGTGCGTCTGGGCCACACTGGAGAAGTGAAACTTACGTTACGTCTCTATTTTGTCTCATAACCTATATACATACATATGTACATATATTAAATTGTGTTTTGAATAAAAAGTGGCCAAAGGCGAATACACATGGTTTTTAAGCGGCCTGCATTTTTTCCCATTTCTTTTTGTTTAAGGCACAGCATTCAATCGTGCAATTTCATGGCCATTTATTTTAACTGATACAAGAAATGTCATATAAACGCCTCTCTTTACTACTTCCAGAGGTTTACATACTTTTCGAAGGCGAGGCCAAGGTACGCTGGGAGGAGAGCAGATCGCGTTCACGCGATGGCAAAACAGAACACTATACCGAACATTTCCGTGGCAACGAAACATATTTGCACTCGAAGACATGTGTACATGCTGAAGGTACGCTACAGCCGGGAACCTATACTTACACATTCAGCATACCGCTGCCGCTACAATGTCCCACATCCTGCGTAGAAAAATATGGAAAAATTGCATACGAATTAACGTTGGTGTTAAATCGCCCTTATAAATTTGATAATGTTTTCAAACAACCGCTGACGGTTTTACACCAGGTGAACTTGAATTTGAAGCCGGAGCTATTGGTGAGTACGGAATGTGTCTTAAATCGGAAACGTAGACCTTTAGAGCATTTTATTTATATACTTTCAGATACCAATTAAAAATGAGGATATCAAATATTTCTGTTGCTGGCCCTGCTCTTCGGGCCCAGTGATGTCAACGCTAATAATACCTTTTGGTGGTTATGCGCCCGGTCAGGCAATTAAATATAAGCTCGAAATAGACAATCAATCGACCGGCTATGATTTGGAAGATGGCGTTGAATTAAAATTGAAACAAGTTTATAAATTTGTAGCACAAACACCACATCATAAGACACGCTACCACACCAATACGCTGGCGCACACCGAACAAGGCATGCAATGTTTGCGACTCTCTAAACGCCTGATTGAGGGCGCACTGGTCATACCACCTGTGCCGCCCAGTTCGCTGACTGACTACATTATTGGTGTGCGCTATGAGATTAAGATGTCCATAAACACTGGCTGCTGTCATACTGATTCCGAAATAGTTATACCCATTACAATTGGTACAGTGCCTTTGGCGCAAAGCGCCACTAATCCTGAGAATGCAGTTGCCTTGCTGTCAACAGCGCCGCAGGAGCCAGATACGCCAGACACACCTTTCGGCAGCGATGCGCCGCCAAACTATGAAAAATTTAGTAAGGCATACATTTTTTTGTTTTACAGAATTCTCAATGTGAATAATTTTGTTTCATATTTCACCCAACAGAGCCACCTTCTTTTGAAGAGGCTACTACTATTAGTGGCAAGTTCATCGATCGCGACGTTGATGAGCGCAATCGCACGGATGAATTCATACCCAAATATCCGATGTACACAAATTTCGCTGTACCCACTGCGCCGGTAATAGATGATGTTAGAATGCCTTTGCTGCAGTTACAGGGCACGACACCACCGCCTTATACGAGTAGTACGTCTGAAAATCAGCAGTCAACATCAGCAACGCGCGAAACTACTGGATATGGTTGGAATAGTTGAATATCAAAAGTGATTTTGCTACAATTAGATATGAAAAATATGTACATACATACACTCACCAAATGTAGCATGATATTAAAAAAACCCAGAACACATTGGAAGGGAATTTTCGTTCTAGATTCGCTGGACGAGTTATTAATGCTTCTTTTGCTTGCGAAAAATGTGGTTACAAAATTAAGGACATATGTATGTAGGCGTCCCAGTCTTAATTCATGAAATGAAAACAATTATAAAAAACTGGTTTCCACACACATTCAAAATATTTGGACAATTTAACTTCGCAAAAATATGAAGTTAAATAAATATACATACATACCTGTGAAAAATGTTACTTATGTAAATAGTTAAGGTGCCATTAAAAATGTATAGTTATGAGTTTGCCAAAGTTAATTTGCGATTTGCATATTTCCACGTGATAAATTTTATATCAAAGAGTTCTAACTTCTGTAAAACGCATTCACGAAATTGTTGCTATACCCCATGATGCAATAAACATTTTCTGATATATGGCTTTGACATATGGCAAGGGCGGTGAAAATTTAAAGGGGATCTAAAATTGTGGTTTTAAATGGTCTGCCACTATTTTCTTTAAAACCGCGTTAAATTTTTCAGGGTTTAATGTAATTATGTGACTACTACAAATATGCATGCATGTGTGTATTAGACTAAATGCCAACAAATACACGGTACGTCCTGTTACTACAAACTTATTATATTTATAATATTAATGGTTTATAAAAGAAAGCGGAAAAATTTGTTTCATTAATAATTCTTATTTTCGTGGCCGCTAGCAGAAAAATGAAGATAGAGAAGCATTTTTAGGTTTTTTCTTAACAGCGGTCGCCTCTGGGCGGGAAATGCCAAACCTGTGAGTGTGTTTCTGCCATGAAAAACAATTTTTCATAAAACTGTAGATCCGTCCCCCTTGTGTGCTTTTACCGATGTCTACGTTGTCGGCATATGCCAGAAATTCAGTTCTGCGGATCTTATGATCTTCTCCAATGGCTGATTAAAGAAATCACCCGAAAGGGAGTCACTTTCTCTGAAACCTCATTTGGTATCAAACGGCGCGGAGAGGTCCTTCTCAATTCTGATGGAGCTGGTAGTATTCATCAACGTCATTTTACACAGTCGTACTAGTTGCATAAATATAACTTTTTCTCGTATAGTCGAAATCGGCTTTGAAATCGACATATACATAGATGGTATGTGTCGATCCTATTCTGGCCCATCATTTCCAAGATTTGGTGTATTTGGAATACCTAGTCTATGGTGCATTTGTCAGGTCCAAAGCCACACTGATGAGGTTCAATCAGTTCTCTGACGTTGCGTTTCAGTCTTTCACACGATACGCTCGATAAGACCTTGTAACTTATGCTTAGAAGGCTGATCCCGCGGTAGTTGGCGCATATGGCAGAATCATCTTTCTTGTGTATGGGGCTGAAATCACTTTAAATTTTAGTCGTTGGGCATGCATTCATCTGTCCATATTCTGCATAAGCATTTATGCATGCACCTTATCACTCCACTATTTAGGTACGCTCTGGACATCGGTAACTAGGTCGCCATGCTTGTTCTTACGGGAGTTCGCCTTGGTCTTGGAACTTTTCGTAAGTCGCATATTTCTCTAATACAATATTCGGGCGTTTTTCCTGTCAGTCAGCATTTCAAGCTCTTCGCGCTCACGTATTTCGGCCTCTGTCTTCTTATTGCTGCAAATACGTCTCGTTTCCCTCTTCACTTCCTACGTATAATGGTCCGACATAGCTCACGTTGACCTCGGTCGCAGCGCGCCCTGTAGGTGCCATAATTTTTTCTGCAACTTCTTGACCCTCCTTGTCGTAAGAGTTGTTCTTTCGGGTAGACATTTTTTACTGCATCGTAGCTCGTAAAAATATTGGCTGCAGCGAGATAGTTTTACGAGTCAATGAATGGCCCTCGGAGTGTACAAACTTCTAAAAACTTGAGGCGTACCTTCTGTCTCGTTTTTCGATCTGGAGACAGCCATGTAGCTTGATGGATCTTTCCATGCTGGAACCTAATAACACGTAATACCAAGTTTTGGGTCCCGGTGAAGTCTGTTAGCCACAGTCCGTTATCAGTCCTTTCGTCGTTGAGACTGAATTTTCCGACAGTGGCGCCAAATATACCTTCCTTGCCTACCTTGGTAATGAAATCGCCAAGCGTGATTTTTGTATTGTGTCGGGGACAGCGCTCACATATACGCTACACGCGCTCACAGAAGTGATCCTTGGATGCCTCTTCCCTCTCTTCCATTGGAGCATTAGACGTCGCAAGGCTGCACGCTTATCTTCCCGTGCCCCGTCGTTCACATTTCTTAGATAGCTGGGATGTTAGCCTAAGTCTTCCCGAGGACATCAACTAGCCGGAGAGGGACCCCTTCCCCGTCTAGGGTGCGGATATTCCAGGTGCATACACTCAAATCGTAGCCCTTTATACATGGCCGCGATCGAAAGAAGGTGGTCTCATCCGAGGTCTGCACGGATTTTACCCCTTGTCAATTCAGCTCGCCCCCGAACGGACGTAGGTATGGACGTCGTGAGTTGCAAATTGAACCATAAGCACCGACGAGTTGGCAAGGGACGTTACATCTTCCATACTGGTGGGCCGGAACCATTTTGGGGACTCAGCTGGTCCTCCTCGAGGCTTAAAATAGAATCGTGGCTTAACTCAGAACGCAGTAAGTGCTGGTACAGAGGTAATGGGCCTTAAACAGGCCAAACTTTTTGGTTATCCTTTCGCTAGTAAGGAACAGATCCGATGTCAAGTTGGTTGTTGTCTATCTGACTGGCCATAATGACTTGCGCTCTCACATGAACCGGATTGGTATTCCCACAGAGATGGATTGCCGTCTTTGTCTTGAAGACGAGGAGACGTCGGAGCACATTACGTCGATACCTGAGTGCAAGATCGACCTATCTCGGCAGCCAGTTCGAAAACGCCCTATCCCAGAAAACATTTCAAGAACACCCTACTTCAGAACTTGAATGAAGAACGCCGTATTTCAGAAAAAATCTACTTCCCACACTAAAAGATATGCGAAAGAAAAATGCTCAAAATTATTTTAGAAAGCAAAAAAGTCAAACAAAAATTTGTCTTGATTCAATTTCTTGTTTACGGGCTTATTTTGTTAAAGTTTGGAAATGCCACCTTACAAATTTACCTTCGAGCGAGATCCTCCGCTGTACGTGTGTGGCGAAAAAGTAGTGGGTACCGCAGAGCTGACCTTACTGAAAGAAAGATCATTTGAAGGTAAGTGATTAAAAAAGTGATAACATTTAAAAACATATTTCTTCTGGCATACATATATATATGGCGTCGTTTGCGCAGACATACGCATTGGCTTTCGAGGCATGGCTACCGTGAGATGGGTAGACACCCTGACACGCTTTCCAAAACTCNGTCTACAAATTTACTACATATTTACCACGACGACGCCAGCGCTACATCTCATATGACTTGAAAAGCGTAGAAAAGCGTATAATTGTGCGGTCGGGCGATATGGTTGTAGTGGATGATCAGTTCGATGTGCCACCACTACCGCCATCCACACAAGGTACACACATAATATCCATTAAATATGAGTTACGCCTGGAAATGCGCATCAGTGCGGTGTCACAAGCCGTATCGGATTTGGTGGTGCCCATCATTATAGGCACAGCTGTAGAACAATCTGTGAGCTTTAATGTACTTTCTATTAGCTATTTGGCTAGAGTATTTAATAACGTTTTTTGAACTATCTCTCTCTTGCCATTTAGAAATCGCCGGAATAATTGCTGGTAGTAGACAATTGAGATTGCTCTCCTACCGAAAGCCTTCGATATGTGGATTAGTTATGTCTAAAGCTAAAATATATCTACTAATAGATCTAAAAACATACTTAGTAATAGGTGTGCATGTAAATACGTCTTTATTACACTCATTACATATTTATTCATAGTTCAGTGCTTGCATTTTGTTTGGTTCATTACAACATTACCCAAATACATTACAATCTATTGTTCGCCTTTCAGTCTAGTAGGGTTCCGGTAGTGGTTGATATTGCGTCCTTGTTGTTGTAGCTGTCGTTGCCACCGTAGTCGTGCTTGTGGACGCCGCGATAACATCATTCGGTATTGGCAGCACACTCTCCATATTATAGTATAGATATTTTGGTTTAAAATCGGTTTGACCTAAATCCCTTCGTTTCGATTTCTTCATCTCGCCATCGAATCTTATTTTCGGCATGTACTCTGCTTCACGATAGGTGGAAGAAGCTGAAAAAGTTATTTATTTTAATATATATGTATGTAGTACATACAAAAAAAATCGTCTGTAAATTATGGATAGGGCCGTCGAGAGAAAACTCGGGCTCGGACTGAAAAATCACGGACGCCCATACATAAAATGTATTAATATAAAAGCATGTGATCATTTTCCTCATCATCCTCATTTTCCTTTCTGAAACAATCAGCATGAATCCGAATATATTTATGATAAAAGCGTATAACGATAGAGCAATTACATTGTAAAAAAATATAATAAAAAGCCCGAGCCTGGGGAGATTCATCCTTTTCCCTCTCCCTCTCGACGGTCCTAATTATATATATTTAAAAAAAAATATATTAAAAGGGATGGTCATTATTAGAGCAACAGAAGCCAAATCAAAATTTTTTTCTGTCTGTCTGTCTGTATGTTTGTACGCGCATTATTCGAAAACTAATGCACGGAAGCGAATGCAGTTTTCTCCGAAGAATTGCCCGATATCTTACTTAAAATATGGAAGAAAAAAATTTGAGACTTGTCACCTGTTAAAAAATTGCAGTTTAGGTAAATTGATAAGGTAAATGAAATACTGCAATATGGCTGTCAAAAGAAAGATGTTTAAGAAGGCTTCAAGTCGAAAAATTTTCGTGGAAAGTTGCCAAATTTTTGAAATTTTTAATTTAATTTAATTATAAGATAAATTAAATATTGCAATATGGCTTCAAACTAAAGAGGTTTGGGAAATTTCACTGCCGAAAATATTTGTAAGGGGGTTGCCACCTGTTTTAAAAATTTTATTTATTTAAATTAATAAAATAAAGGAAATATTTCAAACCTGGTGTTAAACTAAAGAGCGTTAAGAAAGTTTTCTGTAGAACATGTTTTTGAAGCGGGTTTCCTTCCACCTATTTGNATTAATGGCCTTATTCATAAAAAATTAAGTAGCTTTATAAAGGGTTTATAAATTGAAAAATGTATGAAAACTTAAATTTATAAAGCTATTTAAACCTACTTTATTTTTTATGAATAAGGCCATAAGTTTCGAGGAAAAGGCCGATTCTAAAGACATTCGAAAATATATTAAGTAATACCCACATTTATAAAAAATAAACAATGCTTCAGAAATCGAAAATTTCTTTGAAAATCTCCCTTCTCTCTTTAAATATATTTTATATTTTAGGATTGAGGCCATATGTGTTTTGCGAGGGAGACAACTACACAAAAATACTTTTAAGGCGCAGGGAAACACGCCAGGTATATGCTTTTTAGCAATAAAGTTACTATTTACAACAGTGATTGGATATTTATTTATCCTAAACTACAATAGCCAGATATTTACATTTCATCAGAATCTGTCTATGGTTGATTGGTTGAAGTGGCGAGTTTAACAACTTCAATTAGCACTTGCGCGTGCCGTTTCAAAACCACTACTAGAAATTAAGCCTGAAAATAATCCCGAAAAGAAAGCAACAGAAGTTGCTCCACAGCATGTGGAGTTGAAGAACTTAAGAAATTTCAGTGGGTTAATATCACTTATGTCTGTTAAACCGCAGAAACAGGGTTTGCCTAGAAGCCTGATTCCGGTCCTACATAGTGCTGGGCAATCGCAGATCAGATGCTCCACCGTTTTTTCTGCATCTGGTGAAAGTGGTGGTAAGAAAGGCAGTGCGTTTTGCCCAGTAGTGGGTGGGGTAGGATTGTAGGTCTTTCCACCTACTGTTAGCCACCTTTTTCCAGTGCTGAGATATGCAGCCCTTGATATAGCTTAGAGGCACAAGAACCCCCTCTCCCTCTGAGATATCAAGAGCTGACCTATTCTTGCCCAGCTGGTTGTAGGCATTCAGACACACTATTCTTTCCACCTGCCTCCAAAGAGTCGAGACACTTTGCGGCGGTAGAAAGCTTTATGATTTAAGTTCTCTGATAACCAGGAAGGTCATTATATCGCTAGGCTCTCTTATGGTTCGATCGGAGCTATTTAGAGAAAGTCTGACTTTTTTTCGTTCGGGTGTGAGTATTTCCTTGTCAAACTTAAGTATATGGCTGCCGATAGCCCAGAAAACTACGTGGCTGACGAGTTAGGAACGAGAGGTACCCTCGAGACAGCCTCTAATAGAAAACAGATAGTGCGAGTGCCTTTTATTGCATGTTCACTACCCTTGGATAGATAGGCCACGCTCCAGTTGAGCGAACGTCGGGAAAAACCCGGAGAATGTGCTGGTAGAATGTCTTTCTGGTCGGGGTGAACCGAAGGCGGATCAGACCGGAACGTCTATGTCGCGCCTGCATGCAGGATGGTGTGTAAGAATCCTACTCATAAATTTTGTTATAATGTAGTTTTTATTCAACTCAGAGGAGCTCTCTTTCCAAACCTCGTTTCGGCACAGCTACAAACTATAAGTTACCGTTCGTAGAAGTATCGCAAAAAAGTAAACGTGTGACCTTATTACGGGGAAACCAAATTAACCTAATCTAATATATGTATACAAATAACTGGCTCAGTTTCAATAAAGAGATGAGCATTTGAAAATTTTCACATCTCACTCCCTATCAACATGCAGACAATTGTAGTCAAATAAATATTTTTTTCTAGGAGGTTTCTTGTGTACAGCGTTCCTTAAAATAGTCCCTCTAATTTACTCACCAAGTGACATCATGGATAGGCTTCTATTGGGCGGCGTCTCTGGTTCGGGAGCTGAGGCACCAGCAAATGTATCGCTCTCACCCCCAAGCATTAACATGTTACTCTCTCTTTCTTTCATACTTGCTCCCAAATCATCTGTAGAATGCGCACCAAAAATCGGCTGCTGCTGCGGGCTTGGCCCTCGACCCATTTCTTCCACATTCTGCAACGACTTAGTACCCACTATGATTGGCAGCTTTGCGAGTAGCCAACGTTTTACATTATTCGTAGTCAATCGCGCGCTCAACTCGTAGCTAATTTGTAGACAACTACAGTCGCCTGAATCAGTACTTGGCGGAATATTTGTCTGAGGCATAAACAGCGTTTGCAAATGTTGCACCATAGCCTCTTTCTCGTCGCATAGGTTGTGTACCGTTTTAGCTAATATTGTGGGGAAGTACTGAGTTTTGGTTTTTTTGTGACCATGTGAAGCGGTGATGCGGCAAATTTGAAGCAGTTCGTAGGTTAGTTCGCTTAAATGTGAACTACCCGGATTTTGTATGATGACATGTGCTGATAGCACTTCGCCTGGAATAAAGCCAACTTGCTGTAAATTCACAAACATTTCCAATGGCTTCTTAAAAAATTTCCATAGAGACCGATTCTCCTCGACATGCACCTCGCAAGGTTGTTGTCTCACCTGCGGGCAGTGGCGTAGATCGACTGGTTTGAGCACTTGCAATTGTTTCGAGTACCAAATTTCACTTTTGTTTTTGTGATCAACAAACACTTCAATTGTGTAGCGTATATGGCCATTGGTGCTCTCGAAACTAGATGGACAACTCTGCGGGAGGGAAACGGTGAAGGGATAGTTGTACGTGCCCCGTTCAACGATTTTTGCAATTGCTGCGTGAATAAACGAGATGACGAGTCAGAATGAGTAATAAATGGAGAAAATTAAGCGCGCATACCGTCTTCGGAGCCTAGAAAATAATTGACACTGGACAAAAAGTCCTCTCGATTGGTGTAAACTTCCAAGCGCGGTTCTGGTGGTGGGTCATCCTCTTGTGTTTGTTCATTTTTCTGCTTTGATTTTTTAAATTTCTTCGGTGGTAAAAGCGTTTCCCATTTCACTTCAGCAAAACCTGTATACTTTATGGCTACAGCTGGATAAAGAAAATATTTTAAATTAATTAATGAATTATGGAAAAGGAATTTTAAAGAGTAGGAGACTTCTTGAAAAAAATGAAAGAAAAAGCAAAAAAAGCGTTGAGCAATGAGTCATTGTTCGAGCACACTAAACATGCCGCTTGATACATATACATGGTGTCTAATAAGTACCACTACAAACTTATGGAGAAAGCATGATAAAAACATAGCAAGGTATAACCGTTCTCTCAATTTGTCGGCCATGATTTTTTTTTGAAGTTTGCCAACATTTTAAAATCATATAAATGTGAAAATAAAAAAATGAAATTGTTCGAAATTGTTGTTGCTTGAGATTGAAAATGAAAATGTGTGTGTGAGTTTGTGAGTAAATTTAAAAATTAAATTGTTTGGAAACGTCAAGAATTTTAAAAGTGACTCTCAGCGGTTCTACCTTACTATATTTTTATCATGGGAGAAAGTATGTTGGGCGGTGACCTCCCAGATAAAAAGTAACCTTTATAAAAGTGTCACCGTTTTCCAAATTTAGATTTTTTTCTTTAAGTAAATAATCACAAAAATGTTTTCATTTTATAATGGTTTCTTAATATTTTTAAACTGCATTACATTTGAGTATGGTAAAGCAACTAGCTGGAAGTATTTTACAGAAAAATTTAATAATTGTGCATGCAGTTAAAGAAAACATGTTCACAACTTCAAAAATTACACTTTTATAGAGGAATTTTTTTCCTTCGTCGTCGTACTTATTGCACACACTGTATATATACATATGCATATACATATGCAGGTACCTTTCAGTAGCAACCGTACTTCCAACGTTAAGGTTACACATCCTGTCAACTTATCACCGGGTTGATATGTAGTCTTAGGATTATCCAAATGCACCTCA